AAAAATTCAAAAATAAAATTCGAATATCAAACTGAACCTATTGATTGTTGTTTCTATGTGATTTCTAAGCTTCTTGTATAGTTTCTGTATCGGACAGTATGAAATTTTGCAAAAAAGCAAAGGTTGTTACACGAACCGCATTCGTCTGCTAAAGACTGAAAAGAGAGCGGCCGGACGGACGGACGGACGGCCCGGTGGCGCGGCGGGGAAGGGGCGACGACGACGACGACGACGACGACGACGACGACGACGACAGCACAGCAAGCGACGGCGACAGCCGGTACTCCTGCTGCCGTGCGGTAAGTGGCGTCGATTCGTCGACGGCCTTCCGTTTGCCGTAGCCGGACTCCCGCACTGCGCCTTACGAGGCACCACGTGCGTAAAGTCCCGTGGAAGGAGAAGTAGGAGGCCTTCGTTTGCCGTAGCCGGACTCCCGTAATGCGCCCTAAGAGGCATGTGCGTAACTTCCGTAGAATCGTTAAATGCCCAAGTTCGTCGAATGCCTTCGTTTGCCGCAGCCGGACGTGTGTCGTGCCCGGACAGTGGTGATGGGTCCACTAGCCCGAAGTAGTGCCGAAGTGCTGCGTCGGTGGCCTTCGTTTACCGTAGCCGGACTCCCGTCATGCGCCTCAGAAGGTAAGTGCGTAAAGTGCGTAGTTTTGTCGAAGGCCTTCGTTTGCCGTAGTAGCCGGACTCCCGTACTGCGCCTTAAGAGGCATGTGCGTAAGTCCCGTAGAAGGCGGCCCCTTCGTTCACCGTAGCCGGACTCCCGTAATGCGCCTTAAGAGGCATGTGCCTAAGTCCTTGTAGAGTCGTTGCCGTCGTGTCGTCTCCGCACTGCCTAGCACGAGATTTTCTCAAATGAACCGACCGACCGACCAAAGTCGGGTAAACGGCGGATGTAACTGTTACTGACTTAAGTTGTGAGCAGATGCCTCGTCATCTCGCAAGTGTCCGAACAGCAAAGCGATGATGACGAAGCGCGCGTTCTTTCGTTCGCTTTCCGACTGCCGCAAGCGAGCTGATAGCTTGCTCCGTGCGTAAGTCCCGTAGAATCGTTAAATGCCCAAGTTCGTCGAATGCCTTCGTTTGCCGTAGCCGGACGCGTGTCGTGCCTGCCTGGACAGTGGTGATGGGACCACTAGCCCGAAATTGTAGCAGCAGTAGTAGTGCCTAAGTGCGTCGGTGGCCTTCGTTTACCGCAGCCGGACTCCCGTCAGGCGCCTCAGAAGGTAAGTGCGTAAAGTGCGTAGTTTTGTCGAAGGCCTTCGTCTGCCGTAGCCGGACTCCCGTACTGCGCCTTAAGAGGCATGTGCGTAGAAGGCGGCCCCCCTTCGTTCACCGTAGCCGGACTCCCGTAATGCGCCTTAGAAGGTAAGTGCGTAGTTCCTTAGAAGGAGGCCTTCGTTTGCCGTAGCCGGACGCGCGTCGCCCGCCTCGGCAGCGATCGGCGAAATTACTTTTCGGACGAAGTTACGATTTTCGGTTTTTTGGGAAAAATTCAAAAATAAATCGAATATCAAACTGAACCTATTGATTGTTGTTTCTATGTGATTTCTAAGCTTCTTGTATAGTTTCTGTATCGGACAGTATGAAATTTTGCAAAAAGCAAAGGTTGTTACACGAACCGCATTCGTCTGCTAAAGACTGAAAGAGAGCGGCCGGACGGACGGACGGACGGACGGCCCGGTGGCGCGGCGGACAGGAAGTGTCGGGGACGACGACGACGACGACGACGACGACGACGACGACGACAGCACAGCAAGCGACGGCGACAGCCGGTACTCCTGCTGCCGTGCGGTAAGTGGCGTCGATTCGTCGACGGCCTTCCGTTTGCCGTAGCCGGACTCCCGCACTGCGCCTTACGAGGCACCACGTGCGTAAAGTCCCGTGGAAGGAGAAGTAGGAGGCCTTCGTTTGCCGTAGCCGGACTCCCGTAATGCGCCCTAAGAGGCATGTGCGTAACTTCCGTAGAATCGTTAAATGCCCAAGTTCGTCGAATGCCTTCGTTTGCCGTAGCCGGACGTGTGTCGTGCCCGGACAGTGGTGATGGGTCCACTAGCCCGAAGTAGTGCCGAAGTGCTGCGTCGGTGGCCTTCGTTTACCGTAGCCGGACTCCCGTCATGCGCCTCAGAAGGTAAGTGCGTAAAGTGCGTAGTTTTGTCGAAGGCCTTCGTTTGCCGTAGTAGCCGGACTCCCGTACTGCGCCTTAAGAGGCATGTGCGTAAGTCCCGTAGAAGGCGGCCCCTTCGTTCACCGTAGCCGGACTCCCGTAATGCGCCTTAAGAGGCATGTGCCTAAGTCCTTGTAGAGTCGTTGCCGTCGTGTCGTCTCCGCACTGCCTAGCACGAGATTTTCTCAAATGAACCGACCGACCGACCAAAGTCGGGTAAACGGCGGATGTAACTGTTACTGACTTAAGTTGTGAGCAGATGCCTCGTCATCTCGCAAGTGTCCGAACAGCAAAGCGATGATGACGAAGCGCGCGTTCTTTCGTTCGCTTTCCGACTGCCGCAAGCGAGCTGATAGCTTGCTCCGTGCGTAAGTCCCGTAGAATCGTTAAATGCCCAAGTTCGTCGAATGCCTTCGTTTGCCGTAGCCGGACGCGTGTCGTGCCTGCCTGGACAGTGGTGATGGGACCACTAGCCCGAAATTGTAGCAGCAGTAGTAGTAGTGCCTAAGTGCGTCGGTGGCCTTCGTTTACCGCAGCCGGACTCCCGTCAGGCGCCTCAGAAGGTAAGTGCGTAAAGTGCGTAGTTTTGTCGAAGGCCTTCGTCTGCCGTAGCCGGACTCCCGTACTGCGCCTTAAGAGGCATGTGCGTAGAAGGCGGCCCCCCCTTCGTTCACCGTAGCCGGACTCCCGTAATGCGCCTTAGAAGGTAAGTGCGTAGTTCCTTAGAAGGAGGCCTTCGTTTGCCGTAGCCGGACGCGCGTCGCCCGCCTCGGCAGCGATCGGCGAAATTACTTTTCGGACGAAGTTACGATTTTCGGTTTTTTGGGAAAAATTCAAAAATAAAATTCGAATATCAAACTGAACCTATTGATTGTTGTTTCTATGTGATTTCTAAGCTTCTTGTATAGTTTCTGTATCGGACAGTATGAAATTTTGCAAAAAAGCAAAGGTTGTTACACGAACCGCATTCGTCTGCTAAAGACTGAAAAGAGAGGCCGGCCGGACGGACGGACGGACGGACGGTGGCGCGGCGGACAGGAAGTGTCGGGCGGCGACGACGACGACGACGACGACGACGACGACGACGACGACGACAGCACAGCAAGCGACGGCGACAGCCGGTACTCCTGCTGCCGTGCGGTAAGTGGCGTCGATTCGTCGACGGCCTTCCGTTTGCCGTAGCCGGACTCCCGCACTGCGCCTTACGAGGCACCACGTGCGTAAAGTCCCGTGGAAGGAGAAGTAGGAGGCCTTCGTTTGCCGTAGCCGGACTCCCGTAATGCGCCCTAAGAGGCATGTGCGTAACTTCCGTAGAATCGTTAAATGCCCAAGTTCGTCGAATGCCTTCGTTTGCCGTAGCCGGACGTGTGTCGTGCCCGGACAGTGGTGATGGGTCCACTAGCCCGAAGTAGTGCCGAAGTGCTGCGTCGGTGGCCTTCGTTTACCGTAGCCGGACTCCCGTCATGCGCCTCAGAAGGTAAGTGCGTAAAGTGCGTAGTTTTGTCGAAGGCCTTCGTTTGCCGTAGTAGCCGGACTCCCGTACTGCGCCTTAAGAGGCATGTGCGTAAGTCCCGTAGAAGGCGGCCCCTTCGTTCACCGTAGCCGGACTCCCGTAATGCGCCTTAAGAGGCATGTGCCTAAGTCCTTGTAGAGTCGTTGCCGTCGTGTCGTCTCCGCACTGCCTAGCACGAGATTTTCTCAAATGAACCGACCGACCGACCAAAGTCGGGTAAACGGCGGATGTAACTGTTACTGACTTAAGTTGTGAGCAGATGCCTCGTCATCTCGCAAGTGTCCGAACAGCAAAGCGATGATGACGAAGCGCGCGTTCTTTCGTTCGCTTTCCGACTGCCGCAAGCGAGCTGATAGCTTGCTCCGTGCGTAAGTCCCGTAGAATCGTTAAATGCCCAAGTTCGTCGAATGCCTTCGTTTGCCGTAGCCGGACGCGTGTCGTGCCTGCCTGGACAGTGGTGATGGGACCACTAGCCCGAAATTGCAGCAGCAGTAGTAGTGCCTAAGTGCGTCGGTGGCCTTCGTTTACCGCAGCCGGACTCCCGTCAGGCGCCTCAGAAGGTAAGTGCGTAAAGTGCGTAGTTTTGTCGAAGGCCTTCGTCTGCCGTAGCCGGACTCCCGTACTGCGCCTTAAGAGGCATGTGCGTAGAAGGCGGCCCCCCCTTCGTTCACCGTAGCCGGACTCCCGTAATGCGCCTTAGAAGGTAAGTGCGTAGTTCCTTAGAAGGAGGCCTTCGTTTGCCGTAGCCGGACGCGCGTCGCCCGCCTCGGCAGCGATCGGCGAAATTACTTTTCGGACGAAGTTACGATTTTCGGTTTTTTGGGAAAAAATTCAAAAATAAAATTCGAATATCAAACTGAACCTATTGATTGTTGTTTCTATGTGATTTCTAAGCTTCTTGTATAGTTTCTGTATCGGACAGTATGAAATTTTGCAAAAAAGCAAAGGTTGTTACACGAACCGCATTCGTCTGCTAAAGACTGAAAAGAGAGCGGCCGGACGGACGGACGGACGGACGGCCCGGTGGCGCGGCGGACAGGAAGTGTCGGGCGACGACGACGACGACGACGACGACGACGACGACGACGACAGCACAGCAAGCGACGGCGACAGCCGGTACTCCTGCTGCCGTGCGGTAAGTGGCGTCGATTCGTCGACGGCCTTCCGTTTGCCGTAGCCGGACTCCCGCACTGCGCCTTACGAGGCACCACGTGCGTAAAGTCCCGTGGAAGGAGAAGTAGGAGGCCTTCGTTTGCCGTAGCCGGACTCCCGTAATGCGCCCTAAGAGGCATGTGCGTAACTTCCGTAGAATCGTTAAATGCCCAAGTTCGTCGAATGCCTTCGTTTGCCGTAGCCGGACGTGTGTCGTGCCCGGACAGTGGTGATGGGTCCACTAGCCCGAAGTAGTGCCGAAGTGCTGCGTCGGTGGCCTTCGTTTACCGTAGCCGGACTCCCGTCATGCGCCTCAGAAGGTAAGTGCGTAAAGTGCGTAGTTTTGTCGAAGGCCTTCGTTTGCCGTAGTAGCCGGACTCCCGTACTGCGCCTTAAGAGGCATGTGCGTAAGTCCCGTAGAAGGCGGCCCCTTCGTTCACCGTAGCCGGACTCCCGTAATGCGCCTTAAGAGGCATGTGCCTAAGTCCTTGTAGAGTCGTTGCCGTCGTGTCGTCTCCGCACTGCCTAGCACGAGATTTTCTCAAATGAACCGACCGACCGACCAAAGTCGGGTAAACGGCGGATGTAACTGTTACTGACTTAAGTTGTGAGCAGATGCCTCGTCATCTCGCAAGTGTCCGAACAGCAAAGCGATGATGACGAAGCGCGCGTTCTTTCGTTCGCTTTCCGACTGCCGCAAGCGAGCTGATAGCTTGCTCCGTGCGTAAGTCCCGTAGAATCGTTAAATGCCCAAGTTCGTCGAATGCCTTCGTTTGCCGTAGCCGGACGTGTGTCGTGCCCGGACAGTGGTGATGGGTCCACTAGCCCGAAGTAGTGCCGAAGTGCTGCGTCGGTGGCCTTCGTTTACCGTAGCCGGACTCCCGTCATGCGCCTCAGAAGGTAAGTGCGTAAAGTGCGTAGTTTTGTCGAAGGCCTTCGTTTGCCGTAGTAGCCGGACTCCCGTACTGCGCCTTAAGAGGCATGTGCGTAAGTCCCGTAGAAGGCGGCCCCTTCGTTCACCGTAGCCGGACTCCCGTAATGCGCCTTAAGAGGCATGTGCCTAAGTCCTTGTAGAGTCGTTGCCGTCGTGTCGTCTCCGCACTGCCTAGCACGAGATTTTCTCAAATGAACCGACCGACCGACCAAAGTCGGGTAAACGGCGGATGTAACTGTTACTGACTTAAGTTGTGAGCAGATGCCTCGTCATCTCGCAAGTGTCCGAACAGCAAAGCGATGATGACGAAGCGCGCGTTCTTTCGTTCGCTTTCCGACTGCCGCAAGCGAGCTGATAGCTTGCTCCGTGCGTAAGTCCCGTAGAATCGTTAAATGCCCAAGTTCGTCGAATGCCTTCGTTTGCCGTAGCCGGACGCGTGTCGTGCCTGCCTGGACAGTGGTGATGGGACCACTAGCCCGAAATTGTAGCAGCAGTAGTAGTGCCTAAGTGCGTCGGTGGCCTTCGTTTACCGCAGCCGGACTCCCGTCAGGCGCCTCAGAAGGTAAGTGCGTAAAGTGCGTAGTTTTGTCGAAGGCCTTCGTCTGCCGTAGCCGGACTCCCGTACTGCGCCTTAAGAGGCATGTGCGTAGAAGGCGGCCCCCCCTTCGTTCACCGTAGCCGGACTCCCGTAATGCGCCTTAGAAGGTAAGTGCGTAGTTCCTTAGAAGGAGGCCTTCGTTTGCCGTAGCCGGACGCGCGTCGCCCGCCTCGGCAGCGATCGGCGAAATTACTTTTCGGACGAAGTTACGATTTTCGGTTTTTTGGGAAAAATTCAAAAATAAAATTCGAATATCAAACTGAACCTATTGATTGTTGTTTCTATGTGATTTCTAAGCTTCTTGTATAGTTTCTGTATCGGACAGTATGAAATTTTGCAAAAAAGCAAAGGTTGTTACACGAACCGCATTCGTCTGCTAAAGACTGAAAGAGAGAGCGGACGGACGGACGGACGGACGGACGGCCCGGTGGCGCGGCGGACAGGAAGTGTCGGCGACGACGACGACGACGACGACGACGACGACGACGACAGCACAGCAAGCGACGGCGACAGCCGGTACTCCTGCTGCCGTGCGGTAAGTGGCGTCGATTCGTCGACGGCCTTCCGTTTGCCGTAGCCGGACTCCCGCACTGCGCCTTACGAGGCACCACGTGCGTAAAGTCCCGTGGAAGGAGAAGTAGGAGGCCTTCGTTTGCCGTAGCCGGACTCCCGTAATGCGCCCTAAGAGGCATGTGCGTAACTTCCGTAGAATCGTTAAATGCCCAAGTTCGTCGAATGCCTTCGTTTGCCGTAGCCGGACGTGTGTCGTGCCCGGACAGTGGTGATGGGTCCACTAGCCCGAAGTAGTGCCGAAGTGCTGCGTCGGTGGCCTTCGTTTACCGTAGCCGGACTCCCGTCATGCGCCTCAGAAGGTAAGTGCGTAAAGTGCGTAGTTTTGTCGAAGGCCTTCGTTTGCCGTAGTAGCCGGACTCCCGTACTGCGCCTTAAGAGGCATGTGCGTAAGTCCCGTAGAAGGCGGCCCCTTCGTTCACCGTAGCCGGACTCCCGTAATGCGCCTTAAGAGGCATGTGCCTAAGTCCTTGTAGAGTCGTTGCCGTCGTGTCGTCTCCGCACTGCCTAGCACGAGATTTTCTCAAATGAACCGACCGACCGACCAAAGTCGGGTAAACGGCGGATGTAACTGTTACTGACTTAAGTTGTGAGCAGATGCCTCGTCATCTCGCAAGTGTCCGAACAGCAAAGCGATGATGACGAAGCGCGCGTTCTTTCGTTCGCTTTCCGACTGCCGCAAGCGAGCTGATAGCTTGCTCCGTGCGTAAGTCCCGTAGAATCGTTAAATGCCCAAGTTCGTCGAATGCCTTCGTTTGCCGTAGCCGGACGCGTGTCGTGCCTGCCTGGACAGTGGTGATGGGACCACTAGCCCGAAATTGTAGCAGCAGTAGTAGTGCCTAAGTGCGTCGGTGGCCTTCGTTTACCGCAGCCGGACTCCCGTCAGGCGCCTCAGAAGGTAAGTGCGTAAAGTGCGTAGTTTTGTCGAAGGCCTTCGTCTGCCGTAGCCGGACTCCCGTACTGCGCCTTAAGAGGCATGTGCGTAGAAGGCGGCCCCCCCCTTCGTTCACCGTAGCCGGACTCCCGTAATGCGCCTTAGAAGGTAAGTGCGTAGTTCCTTAGAAGGAGGCCTTCGTTTGCCGTAGCCGGACGCGCGTCGCCCGCCTCGGCAGCGATCGGCGAAATTACTTTTCGGACGAAGTTACGATTTTCGGTTTTTTTGGGAAAAATTCAAAAAATAAAATTCGAATATCAAACTGAACCTATTGATTGTTGTTTCTATGTGATTTCTAAGCTTCTTGTATAGTTTCTGTATCGGACAGTATGAAATTTTGCAAAAAAGCAAAGGTTGTTACACGAACCGCATTCGTCTGCTAAAGACTGAAAGAGAGAGCGGCCGGACGGACGGACGGACGGACGGCCCGGTGGCGCGGCGGACAGGAAGAAGGCGACGACGACGACGACGACGACGACGACGACGACGACGACAGCACAGCAAGCGACGGCGACAGCCGGTACTCCTGCTGCCGTGCGGTAAGTGGCGTCGATTCGTCGACGGCCTTCCGTTTGCCGTAGCCGGACTCCCGCACTGCGCCTTACGAGGCACCACGTGCGTAAAGTCCCGTGGAAGGAGAAGTAGGAGGCCTTCGTTTGCCGTAGCCGGACTCCCGTAATGCGCCCTAAGAGGCATGTGCGTAACTTCCGTAGAATCGTTAAATGCCCAAGTTCGTCGAATGCCTTCGTTTGCCGTAGCCGGACGTGTGTCGTGCCCGGACAGTGGTGATGGGTCCACTAGCCCGAAGTAGTGCCGAAGTGCTGCGTCGGTGGCCTTCGTTTACCGTAGCCGGACTCCCGTCATGCGCCTCAGAAGGTAAGTGCGTAAAGTGCGTAGTTTTGTCGAAGGCCTTCGTTTGCCGTAGTAGCCGGACTCCCGTACTGCGCCTTAAGAGGCATGTGCGTAAGTCCCGTAGAAGGCGGCCCCTTCGTTCACCGTAGCCGGACTCCCGTAATGCGCCTTAAGAGGCATGTGCCTAAGTCCTTGTAGAGTCGTTGCCGTCGTGTCGTCTCCGCACTGCCTAGCACGAGATTTTCTCAAATGAACCGACCGACCGACCAAAGTCGGGTAAACGGCGGATGTAACTGTTACTGACTTAAGTTGTGAGCAGATGCCTCGTCATCTCGCAAGTGTCCGAACAGCAAAGCGATGATGACGAAGCGCGCGTTCTTTCGTTCGCTTTCCGACTGCCGCAAGCGAGCTGATAGCTTGCTCCGTGCGTAAGTCCCGTAGAATCGTTAAATGCCCAAGTTCGTCGAATGCCTTCGTTTGCCGTAGCCGGACGTGTGTCGTGCCCGGACAGTGGTGATGGGTCCACTAGCCCGAAGTAGTGCCGAAGTGCTGCGTCGGTGGCCTTCGTTTACCGTAGCCGGACTCCCGTCATGCGCCTCAGAAGGTAAGTGCGTAAAGTGCGTAGTTTTGTCGAAGGCCTTCGTTTGCCGTAGTAGCCGGACTCCCGTACTGCGCCTTAAGAGGCATGTGCGTAAGTCCCGTAGAAGGCGGCCCCTTCGTTCACCGTAGCCGGACTCCCGTAATGCGCCTTAAGAGGCATGTGCCTAAGTCCTTGTAGAGTCGTTGCCGTCGTGTCGTCTCCGCACTGCCTAGCACGAGATTTTCTCAAATGAACCGACCGACCGACCAAAGTCGGGTAAACGGCGGATGTAACTGTTACTGACTTAAGTTGTGAGCAGATGCCTCGTCATCTCGCAAGTGTCCGAACAGCAAAGCGATGATGACGAAGCGCGCGTTCTTTCGTTCGCTTTCCGACTGCCGCAAGCGAGCTGATAGCTTGCTCCGTGCGTAAGTCCCGTAGAATCGTTAAATGCCCAAGTTCGTCGAATGCCTTCGTTTGCCGTAGCCGGACGCGTGTCGTGCCTGCCTGGACAGTGGTGATGGGACCACTAGCCCGAAATTGTAGCAGCAGTAGTAGTGCCTAAGTGCGTCGGTGGCCTTCGTTTACCGCAGCCGGACTCCCGTCAGGCGCCTCAGAAGGTAAGTGCGTAAAGTGCGTAGTTTTGTCGAAGGCCTTCGTCTGCCGTAGCCGGACTCCCGTACTGCGCCTTAAGAGGCATGTGCGTAGAAGGCGGCCCCCCCCTTCGTTCACCGTAGCCGGACTCCCGTAATGCGCCTTAGAAGGTAAGTGCGTAGTTCTTAGAAGAAGGAGGCCTTCGTTTGCCGTAGCCGGACGCGCGTCGCCCGCCTCGGCAGCGATCGGCGAAATTACTTTTCGGACGAAGTTACGATTTTCGGTTTTTTGGGAAAAATTCAAAAATAAAATTCGAATATCAAACTGAACCTATTGATTGTTGTTTCTATGTGATTTCTAAGCTTCTTGTATAGTTTCTGTATCGGACAGTATGAAATTTTGCAAAAAAGCAAAGGTTGTTACACGAACCGCATTCGTCTGCTAAAGACTGAAAGAGAGCGGCGGACGGACGGACGGACGGACGGCCCGGTGGCGCGGCGGACAGGAAGTGTCGGGGACGACGACGACGACGACGACGACGACGACGACGACGACAGCACAGCAAGCGACGGCGACAGCCGGTACTCCTGCTGCCGTGCGGTAAGTGGCGTCGATTCGTCGACGGCCTTCCGTTTGCCGTAGCCGGACTCCCGCACTGCGCCTTACGAGGCACCACGTGCGTAAAGTCCCGTGGAAGGAGAAGTAGGAGGCCTTCGTTTGCCGTAGCCGGACTCCCGTAATGCGCCCTAAGAGGCATGTGCGTAACTTCCGTAGAATCGTTAAATGCCCAAGTTCGTCGAATGCCTTCGTTTGCCGTAGCCGGACGTGTGTCGTGCCCGGACAGTGGTGATGGGTCCACTAGCCCGAAGTAGTGCCGAAGTGCTGCGTCGGTGGCCTTCGTTTACCGTAGCCGGACTCCCGTCATGCGCCTCAGAAGGTAAGTGCGTAAAGTGCGTAGTTTTGTCGAAGGCCTTCGTTTGCCGTAGTAGCCGGACTCCCGTACTGCGCCTTAAGAGGCATGTGCGTAAGTCCCGTAGAAGGCGGCCCCTTCGTTCACCGTAGCCGGACTCCCGTAATGCGCCTTAAGAGGCATGTGCCTAAGTCCTTGTAGAGTCGTTGCCGTCGTGTCGTCTCCGCACTGCCTAGCACACGATTTTTCTCAAATGAACCGACCGACCGACCAAAGTCGGGTAAACGGCGGATGTAACTGTTACTGACTTAAGTTGTGAGCAGATGCCTCGTCATCTCGCAAGTGTCCGAACAGCAAAGCGATGATGACGAAGCGCGCGTTCTTTCGTTCGCTTTCCGACTGCCGCAAGCGAGCTGATAGCTTGCTCCGTGCGTAAGTCCCGTAGAATCGTTAAATGCCCAAGTTCGTCGAATGCCTTCGTTTGCCGTAGCCGGACGCGTGTCGTGCCTGCCTGGACAGTGGTGATGGGACCACTAGCCCGAAATTGTAGCAGCAGCAGTAGTAGTGCCTAAGTGCGTCGGTGGCCTTCGTTTACCGCAGCCGGACTCCCGTCAGGCGCCTCAGAAGGTAAGTGCGTAAAGTGCGTAGTTTTGTCGAAGGCCTTCGTCTGCCGTAGCCGGACTCCCGTACTGCGCCTTAAGAGGCATGTGCGTAGAAGGCGGCCCCCCCCCCTTCGTTCACCGTAGCCGGACTCCCGTAATGCGCCTTAGAAGGTAAGTGCGTAGTTCCTTAGAAGGAGGCCTTCGTTTGCCGTAGCCGGACGCGCGTCGCCCGCCTCGGCAGCGATCGGCGAAATTACTTTTCGGACGAAGTTACGATTTTCGGTTTTTTTGGGAAAAATTCAAAAAATAAAATTCGAATATCAAACTGAACCTATTGATTGTTGTTTCTATGTGATTTCTAAGCTTCTTGTATAGTTTCTGTATCGGACAGTATGAAATTTTGCAAAAAAGCAAAGGTTGTTACACGAACCGCATTCGTCTGCTAAAGACTGAAAGAGAGAGCGGCCGGACGTACGGACGGACGGCCCGGTGGCGCGGCGGACAGGAAGTGTCGGGCGACGACGACGACGACGACGACGACGACGACGACGACGACGACAGCACAGCAAGCGACGGCGACAGCCGGTACTCCTGCTGCCGTGCGGTAAGTGGCGTCGATTCGTCGACGGCCTTCCGTTTGCCGTAGCCGGACTCCCGCACTGCGCCTTACGAGGCACCACGTGCGTAAAGTCCCGTGGAAGGAGAAGTAGGAGGCCTTCGTTTGCCGTAGCCGGACTCCCGTAATGCGCCCTAAGAGGCATGTGCGTAACTTCCGTAGAATCGTTAAATGCCCAAGTTCGTCGAATGCCTTCGTTTGCCGTAGCCGGACGTGTGTCGTGCCCGGACAGTGGTGATGGGTCCACTAGCCCGAAGTAGTGCCGAAGTGCTGCGTCGGTGGCCTTCGTTTACCGTAGCCGGACTCCCGTCATGCGCCTCAGAAGGTAAGTGCGTAAAGTGCGTAGTTTTGTCGAAGGCCTTCGTTTGCCGTAGTAGCCGGACTCCCGTACTGCGCCTTAAGAGGCATGTGCGTAAGTCCCGTAGAAGGCGGCCCCTTCGTTCACCGTAGCCGGACTCCCGTAATGCGCCTTAAGAGGCATGTGCCTAAGTCCTTGTAGAGTCGTTGCCGTCGTGTCGTCTCCGCACTGCCTAGCACGAGATTTTCTCAAATGAACCGACCGACCGACCAAAGTCGGGTAAACGGCGGATGTAACTGTTACTGACTTAAGTTGTGAGCAGATGCCTCGTCATCTCGCAAGTGTCCGAACAGCAAAGCGATGATGACGAAGCGCGCGTTCTTTCGTTCGCTTTCCGACTGCCGCAAGCGAGCTGATAGCTTGCTCCGTGCGTAAGTCCCGTAGAATCGTTAAATGCCCAAGTTCGTCGAATGCCTTCGTTTGCCGTAGCCGGACGCGTGTCGTGCCTGCCTGGACAGTGGTGATGGGACCACTAGCCCGAAATTGTAGCAGCAGTAGTAGTGCCTAAGTGCGTCGGTGGCCTTCGTTTACCGCAGCCGGACTCCCGTCAGGCGCCTCAGAAGGTAAGTGCGTAAAGTGCGTAGTTTTGTCGAAGGCCTTCGTCTGCCGTAGCCGGACTCCCGTACTGCGCCTTAAGAGGCATGTGCGTAGAAGGCGGCCCCCCCCCCTTCGTTCACCGTAGCCGGACTCCCGTAATGCGCCTTAGAAGGTAAGTGCGTAGTTCCTTAGAAGGAGGCCTTCGTTTGCCGTAGCCGGACGCGCGTCGCCCGCCTCGGCAGCGATCGGCGAAATTACTTTTCGGACGAAGTTACGATTTTCGGTTTTTTTGGGAAAAATTCAAAAATAAAATTCGAATATCAAACTGAACCTATTGATTGTTGTTTCTATGTGATTTCTAAGCTTCTTGTATAGTTTCTGTATCGGACAGTATGAAATTTTGCAAAAAAGCAAAGGTTGTTACACGAACCGCATTCGTCTGCTAAAGACTGAAAGAGAGAGCGGCCGGACGTACGGACGGACGGCCCGGTGGCGCGGCGGACAGGAAGTGTCGGCGACGACGACGACGACGACGACGACGACGACACACGTCCGGCTTCACGCTGACAAGGCATTCGACGAACGGGCATTAACGATTCTACAGAGATTACTTGCCGCTTTCTGGACTTGTTGGGGGTCCGGCTGCGGCGAAACTCCCTATTCCGGACTTTGCACGTGGTGCTCGCGAACAGTGAGTCCTTCTGACAAACCAGGCGATCACCGATCGACACCACCCACCGCACAACGCCGGGAGTACCAGCTTGTCGTCGCTGCTGTTGCTGTCGTCGTCGTCGTCGTCGTCGTCATCGTCGCCAACACTTCATCGCCGCCGCGGGCGTCCTCCGTACGTCGTATCCTGCAGTGCTTTAGCAGACGAATGCGGTTCGTGTAACAACGCTACTGCCAATTGTACTGTCGATGCCGACTGAAGAAGCGAAAATCACATAAAACAATCAATAGGTTCGGTTGATATTCAATTTATTTTTGGTGCCGAAGCCGTCTGGCCTTCGTCGAAAATATTTCGCCGATCGCTGCCGAAGGCGGGCGACGCGCGTCCGGCTTCCCAACAAACGAAGGCCTCGCTGGAACTACGCACCTTCTGGGCGCATTACGGGGTCCGGCTGATGAACGAAGAGACCCTTCTATGCCTCTTGAGCGCAATGCAGGAGTCCGCTGCGGCGAACCAGGCCTTGACTTCGCACTTGCCCCTTCTGGGGCCCCCGACGGGGTCCGGCGCGGTAAACAAAGGGCCCCGCGCCGGGCAACACCGTTACAATTTGCCAAATGGTCCCCCCACCGTCCGGCAGGCACGCAGGGTCCGGCTACGGCAAACGAAGGCATTCGACGAACGGGAAACGTTCTAGGGACTTCCCCCGGAGCAAAATCGCTCCTTGGGCAGTCGGAAAAACGAAAAAACGCCTTCGTCATCATCGTTTTGTTTTCGACACTTGCGATGAGGGGCATCTCTAACTTAAGTCAGTAAAAGTTCATCCGCCGTTTTTCCCCACTTTGGTCGGTCGGTCGGGGGTTTGGAAGGGAAAAACTCGGGGACGGGCGAACGGCGGCAACGACTTCGGGGCCCGACCCTTTAAGGGGCGGGGGCCGGGCCGGGAACGAAGGGGGCCCCTTACGGACTTTCGCCCTGCCTCTTTAAGGGCAGTACGGGAGTCCCTATACGGGAAAAGGTTTTTACAAAAACGCATTACCATTACCTTCTGAGGCGCATGAGGGTGGCTACGGGAAAAGAAGGGCCCCCGACGCGCCTTCGGTTTTGGGGGGACCCTCCCCGTCCGGGCCCCAAAAGTCCGGGTACGGCAAACGAAGGATTGACGAACTTGGGTTTAACGTTCGGGTTCGCAGCCCTCTTGGGGCGCATTAGGGGGTCCCCGGCAAACAAAGGCCCCCCATTCCCTTTCCCCCGGATTTTACCCCGGTGCCCGTAAGGGCGCGGGGAGTCCGTGGAAAACGGAAGGCCGTCGGAATCGACGCTTTGCACGGCAGCAGGAGTCCGGCTTCGCCCCCGTCGTCGTCGCCCCGTCGTCGTCGTCGTCGTCCCCCGCCCTTCCTGTCCCCCGCGCCCCCGGGCCCTCCGCCCGTACGGCCGCCCCTTTTTTCGTCTTTGGAAATGGGTTTTTGTAACAACCTTTTTTTAAAAAATTTCATACTGCCCGATACAGAAACTATAAAAAGTTTAAAAATAAATGAAAAAACAATCAAAGGTTCGTTTGATTTTAATTTTTATTTTTGAATTTTCCAAAACCGAAAATCGTAACTTCGTCCGAAAAATACGCCGATCGCTGCCGAGGCGGGGGACCCCTCCCTACGGCAGAGGCCCCTTCAAAAACCCCCACCCTTCAACGCATTACAGTCCGGGGTACGGGAACGAAAAGGGGGCCCCCTTTACTTTCCCAAGGGCGTCGGGAGTCCCGGGTACGGAACGAAGGCCTTTAAAAACTACGCACTTTTCGCACCTTTTTTGGGCGTGACGGGATCCCGGGTGCGTAACAAGGCCACCGACGCCGGGAACTCGTGCTAAATTTTGGGCAGGGGCCCATCACCACTGCCCAACACGACACGCGTCCGGCTCGGAAAAACGGCATTCGAGAACGGGGTTTTTAAGATTTAGGGGACTTACGCACGACAAAGCTTCGCTCGCTTGCGGCAGTGGGAAAGCGAACAAAAGGGCGCGCCGTCATCACCCTTTTGTTGTTCGAACGCAGATGACGAGGCATCTGCCCCAAACTTGTCAGTAACAGTTACACCCCCTTTACCCGACTTTTTCGGTCGGTCGGTTATTTGAAAAACCCGTGCTGGGGCAGGAGAGACACGCGGCAACCCCGGGGACTTGGGGAAACCTTAAGGGCGCAACCCAAAGCCCGGCTACGGGAAGGGGGGCCCCTTTCAGGGGACCGCGCCTCTGGGCATCGGTCCCAATGGAAAAAAAAAGGCCCACAAACTCCCCCCGCACTTCCCTTCGGGGCGCGGGGTCCGGCTCGGAACAAACCCAACGCACACTTCCCCCACTTCGGGGCCAGGGGCCCCCTCCCACTTTGGGCCGACCCCGCCCGGCTACGGCAAACAAAGGACCGAATTTGGGGGAAACGATTCACGGGTTACATGCCTTTTGGGGCGCATTGGGACCCGGCTAGGGGAAAACGACCTCCCCTTTCCCCCTTCCCACGGGACTTTACGCACGTGGTGCCTCGTAAGGGCGCAGGGAGTCCGGCTGGGAAACAAGGCCTCGAACGACGCCCCCCGCACGGCGCAGGAGTACGGCTGTCCCGTCGTTCTTGCTGTCGTCGTCGTCGTCGTCGTCTTTCGTCTCTCGCCCCTTCGCCGGCCACGGGGCCCCTCCGCCGACCCCGGCCGCTCTTTTCCCTTTTGGACAAGGGGGTTCAAAACAACCTTTTTTGAAAAACCGTCCGATCAAAAACATAAAAGGGCGAAACCCCTAAAAACCAATCAATGGTTCAGTTTGATATTGTTTTTTTTTGAATTTTCCCCAAAAAACGAAAATCGCTTGCCCAAAAAGTATTTCCCCATCGCGCCAGGCGGCGCGCGTCCGGCTACGGAAAGAAGGCCTCCTTCTGGAACACAAAAAGGCGCTTAGGGATGGCTCGGTGAACAAAGGGGGCCGTTTTCCGCCATGCCCTTGGCGCAGGGGGGATGGCAGGGAACGAAGGCCCTTCGACAAAACTACCATTTTACGCCCCTACCGGGCGCCGGGGGGAGCCCGGCTGCGGTAAACAAGGCCCACCGACGCCGGGCCCCCTTTACGCTGCTCTTTGGGCTAGTGGCCCCTCACCCGCCGGCGGGCCCGACCGTCCGGGGGCAAACAAAGGGTTCGGTTGGGCATTTCGTTTCCCCGGGACTTACGCACAGAAAAGCATCGCCCTTTGGGCATTTTAAAACGAAAGAAAAAACGCGCTTTCATCCGCTTTTTTGCGGAGATCACACTGCCGGGGAACGTAACGGGGACCGCCTTTGCTTTTGGGCGGTCTGGAGGAGGGTGCGGGGGGGGAAAGACCCACCATTTTAGGGGCCCGGGTCTTTGGGCCGGTCCCGGGGGAACAAGGGGCCGCCCCCCGGCCCGCCCCGCCCCTTTAAAACCAAAAAGGGGGCCGGCAAACGGCCCAGGCCTTTTGCAAACCCCCATTTTTGACACTCGGGGCCGGGGTCCGGACAACAAAAGGCCCCCAAACATTATTTGGGCCAAAAAACCCTGTCCAGCCGTCGGGGGGGCCCCCAGGCTCGGAAAAGGGGCAAAGTTTTCGGGAATTACGCACTCCTTTGGGGGCTTTAGGGTCCGGCTGGGAAAGGCCCCCCTTTTCCCACGGGCTTTACAGTGGGCCCGGGCGACGGAGCCCACCAAAAAAAAGGGCCTACGAATCCCCCCCCCAGGCGGGGGTCGCTGCGGTTTCCCGGCTGGGGGTCTCGCCCGGCGCCTTTTCTGCCCCGACCGCAAACC